TGTGTGTGTGTGTGTGTGTGTGTGTGTGTGTGTGTGTGTTTATTTATTTATTTATTTATTTATTTAAATGTATTGGCCACCCAACTCCAGTGGACTCTGTTGACACATAGGCACCCACCAGCTCTAGTTACATATTTCCTGTTAAGTCAAGGATCAACAACATAGCATCTCTGAGAGAGCTGGCATGTCCATGACTCTCTGGTAAACTCACAACATGTTTGATTTTTTAAAAATTAATCCTGCTTTGGCATTGCTTTCACTAATGAAAAAGTGGGTCAGAAATTACATAGACCCACACATGCGCATATCCCACATTTCACAAGGTTTCTGTCTTCTTTGATGAGGCCTTGAGTGATATGGTACATGAATGGTGGTATCTTGTGTGAAAATGCTGCTGTGTCATCAAATTTTAGCATTCTTGACAGAATCTACAAGCCTCCGAGGTGAAATCTCATGCTGTTTGATGATCCTGTGGTATTTCTATCATTTTTTAAAAACAGTTTTGGGAAGATGCGGATCATCATGGATAGTAGCCCAGAAACCTAGCCAGTGTGTGTATATTTTGGTATACTGTATGTATATAGTTATATTTGTAACTATATATATTTCACAAAGTGTATTCAAAGCAGCAGATAAGAAATCAAATATTAAAACTACTATAACCGAACCAATAAAAAAAGAGAACGAACATAATAGCTTACATCGAAAAGGGACTTCAAAGGCCAACTAGCCCAGTTGCACCCCTGCAGAAACTAGACCCTTGGTTCATTAAAGGTCATCATGATCTGCACCTGTGGTTGGCAGGAAACAGGCGGGTTGAATTCTGAACCAACCTTTGAAAATTACACTTCTGTATTTCCTTTTTGAGACTGGAACCAGACAGACTACGGGCTCCCCACGCCAAATGAAAGAAACGAGTCCGCTCTCATACTTCCGCTAGTTCTTCAGCATCTCTGCCCGGGGTACATCTCCATTGGTGGCTTGGGCGCCATAGCAGCTGCTGTGATGTCTTCTGGGGACTCTGCTTTGCTCTCTGCGAGTTCCATGTTCGCTCACAACATCTATAGGAAAATATTCCGGAAAAAGGTAAGTGGTTGATGGTTAATGTTTGTCTCACAAATGATACAGGAAATTCCTATTTTTAAAAAAGGCTCTCCTAATATTTAAAGCTTCCTAGTCATAGATCTTTTGTGTGAGAGAGAATAGAGTTAAAAATGGTCATACCTAGGAGCATGACAGGTATGTTAAAACCCAAGATCTACACAATGGCAGGCAAGACGTCACATTCAAAGCCCTGCCATGTTCCAAAGGGGTGGGGCTTCTATCATGATACCACACCCATCCTCATGCAGATTTTGATCCTCCCCCTGTGGACACAGATGGCTGGTTTGTTCATTATCCACAGATGCAATGAATCTAGTCATGGAGATTTAAACTCATTCAAAGTAAAGAGGCATTCTGGGACTATGTCTCCATCAGCCTCAACTTTCCTTCCTATTCCCTTCTCCCGCTTTTCACAATTTCCTGGTGGAACCTTTACTTTTTAGTTGGGGAACACCAACCCACAAAGCAGCCCTGCCTTTTCTGTTTCCAGTCAGCCTTTTGTCATCTTCTTTGAACAGCTGGTTCTTTTCTTTTTATTCTGAACGCAACTAAGGAAATACTTTATATTTTCTCTAGCGTTCTGACCTTTCTCTTTTCTGATGCCAACTCTTCTTTTTTGACCTATCCCTCTTTATACGCGCTCGGGTTTGCAGTAAATGAACATTTGCATGAATGAAAGAGGAATTAAAAAATTTAGAGTCATTCTTTTTTAGGAGATTAGGACCTACGTGCAACATTCAGCCTGTTAATGAATTGGCACCCATCTCAATTTGGAGGCAACGTTTTTCCCAAAGTACTTTCTCTCCCTCTCTTTGTTTTTTTACAGGCAGCAGAGAAAGATGTTTTATGGGCAATGAGAGTTTCCATGGTGATATTTGGGACAATTTCAGCAGCTCTGGCTTTCTACTCCCATTCGATTTATGACCTCTGGTTCTTGGGCGGAGAGCTAGTGTATACTCTCCTCTTTCCCCAGCTGTGTTGTGCTTTGTTTCTTCCCAGCACCAACACCTATGGCTCAATGGCTGGGTTCTTCCTTGGCTTTCTTCTACGTCTATTGGCAGGGGAGCCATCCCTGAAGATCCCCCCTGTGATCTGTTACCCAGGATGCTCAGTTGTAGAAGGTGTCCATGTTCAGCTCTTTCCATTCAAAATAGTCACCATGCTGATCACGCTATTGACCATCTTCTCAGTTTCCCATCTGGCCAGCTTTATGTTTAAGAGCAATATCCTTCCTGCTGAATGGGATGTCTGCCAGGTTATTATGGATGACAGAGTGCCCGTTCCCTTCTACTGGGAAGAAAGGCAGATGGATGTACAAAACAATCAAGAATTGTGAGCAGTTATGAAGATATTTGACAACGTCATTCTTCTGTTAACACTGATTGTGGGAGACTCTTTTGATCAATGAAAGAAAGTCGTTCCTTTGGAAATTAAGCCAGAATTCAAAATTGCAGCAGCGTCTTCGCTGGAATAGAACCGCCGCTGCTGGAACACCATGATTTTGGAAGCACCTTTGATTGGGGATCTGAGCTTGTTTTATGCCAAAAACATTAATTTGGAGTGTAGTTAGGGAAGTGCTACTTACTGTTTTTACTGAATATTTATTTTATTTAATATTTCAGTTCTGAGGCTACCTGACTCCACAGTGATTCTGCATGGCTTACAATTAAACATTTAAAAGAAATGCAAGAGAAAACAACAGAGAATATGTTGCTCTTCTTTGATTCCTGCAGTGAAATTATACAGAAAAATCAACACTGATTACGTAGCACATTTAACAACCCATGCTATGTTCACAGGGAGAGTGCTGTTATAGTCTGACCCCGCTTTATACTTCATCCAACAATTAGAAACTAAATACAAATCTGCAAAGACCTTCATTCTTATCAACCTAGTCACCTAAAACATTCTTATGTTATTAATAAATCCATTGAACAAGTAAAACGTGCCATAAAATGGTGTCATGGACAGCATGCTAGATTTCCAGGTTACTCCATTCCATTAGGACCTTGTGTTGCTTTTGTATATCTACAAACTTCATATTTTAGGCTTACCAAGTTGCTTTCTGTGATTATTTTAGGTCTGCCCAAGCCATGTGAATGCACGTTTCCCCTTCCTCCAATAGCAGACATTTTTATGATGGAACCTACAACACCCTCTCAAGGTTCTAAATCTGCTCTGGCCCCAAAACTTCCAGACTGGATATTCTGTTTCCGTTGTCATTCCTGATAGAAAATCCAACCTATTCACCCACCCACCCCTTCATCTGCAATGTAACTTTCTGAATGCATACATTTTCCTTACAAATTGTAGAGAATCATCCATATCTGTAAAATAATGGGAAATGCTTTGTTCTACCACACTGTTCTTCAGAAGAACTTAGCAACTTGGAGTCTTTGATTAATGCTTGTAAGTCTCATGGCTGACATCAGAGAGACCCTGTGTTTGCCCTGAGGAATGCATCAAAATAAACTGTATAGAAAATTTGAAGTTTCAGCGGCCTACATTTTGGTTCAACGTGCATAAGCGTGTCCTAGAATGATCCCCTGCAAGAATCTTCTGAAAAAGCACAATATGAAAAACTCCTTCTGCCAAGAATGTGAATAGGGGTTTCCTGAAGGCAGACAGTTTACTGTTAGCCTAATAAAATTGTCTGAAAGCCAGAGTTCAGGTTAAAAAGAAGAAAAAGAATAGAAACTGCCATCTTTGGGTAAAAGCTTTGAAATTTTTAATGCACTATATGGCAGATAGGAGCTTTTTGGCTCCTGCTAGTCTGATGCTCTTTCCTAAGTGCATTCTTAATTCCATTATTAATGACTTCAGATCCAAAAGAAACTTCAAAAACCCACAGGATATAAAGATGGCAAGAAAACCGAAGTCCTGATTTCTAAAGAGGGAACACATAGAAGATGTGCACAGCTGGAAATATAGTTCCTATTTTTGTTTAATCCCATGTAAGCAAAATAAAACAATATAACAAAGGAAAAAAAATATACAAAATATGTATCCTGGATTAAAGCACACATTTTTTCACAACTAATGAAAGGCTCTTATTGTCAGTATTCCTATGGCAGGCCAACTTTGAGGCATATCCTTTTTTATATATATAAGATCCTGGGATGATACTTCTTTCTTAGTATTATAAAATTATATTTGATAATGATACCTTTTTGTAAGGTTCTTGGAGGTTTTAAACTTTAATCAGAGGCTTCAAGGATTGAGGGCAGTCCCATACTTTTCCCATCCTTGGTCCACACTTCACTTCTTCCTAATTCTGCCCTTTGTTTTAACATTACCAAACTTCTTTTGGACTAGCAGGATAGGAAGAATATTGAAGCTTTTGAATTTTGGTGTTGAAGAAGATTCCTGAGAATACTGTGGACAGCCAAGAAAAAAAATTGATGGATGATTGAACAAATCAACCCAGATTTCTCACTCGAGCCACAAATGGCCAGGCTCAAATTATTCTACTTTGGACACATTATGCAAAGACCCAGCTTTCCGGGAAAGGCTCGAATACTGGGAAAGGTGGAAGGAAAAGAGAAGAGGATGACCAGCAGCAAGGTGGATGGACTCAGTTACAGTGGATGAGTGCACCATTGGAAGACCTGAAGGACCAGGTTAGGAACAGATCATCATGGAGAAAATCTATCTATGTGGTTGCTAAGAGTAGACACTGACTTGATGGCACATAATCAATCAAACTGCTTTTATCCTGAGCAGAAGGATAGTGTGGGACATCTTATTTCCAATGGGCCCAAAGCACCTCTCCCTCATGGAGATGTGGATTGGCACTCTGGTGTGAGGGGCTCCTCTCCCTTATGGGAAAGTGGATTGACAGTCTGATATGAGGGCTGGCAGGTAGCCTACATTCATAACACTTTCACTAACCTAATTTTCTCTGGCAGTTTTTCTGTTCTTGCTCTTGCTCATATTCTATCTCGCTCTTAGGTAGCTGCCAGTCCCTTCAAAGCTTTCCAGCATTTTATAACAGCTTGTTTTGCTGCCAGGAGCAGATGTCCTATTAAGATTTTATCGTGCAACTGCAGAGTTTGCCCATGAAAGGTTTTTTAATAAAGCAAATAAATGTGTTTGTTTGAACTCTGATCTAATAATATTCCTATTTCTGCAAATGCCATTTCTCAGGATGGTGTTATTTTGCAACAAGTCCACCACACATGTAACTCTCTACCTATTTCTTGGCGTGGGTTACTTTTGTTTTTCTTAAGGCTTGTACACGAGTGTCCTCTTAGTTCATAGGGTTCAACAACACTTTGTTGTATTGTACTTATTCACACTGAGCATACCTGCCTCTGTTCCCCAGTCTCATAACACAGTTTGAAACTCAGCAGTTGGCCTTTTTTTATTACTCCTGGCCCTCCCAACACTGAGAATACCATTGGCCCATGACGCCTTTTTTGCCTGGCCAATTGGGCAGGGCAAAAAATAGCATTCAGTCAGCGCCTTGCTCTTCCCCATCACGTATTTGCTTCTTGTATGTCTTATTTCCAAAAAAATCTAAGCAATTGGCACAAGAGGGAGCTACATCCACCAAGGCGCTATGCTCTCTGCAAAATGAGAATACCTTAGCAGGAAGCTGACCCTGTACTGGGAGCAGGAAAGGATAGGTTGAGCCTAAACCCTTGGATGGCTTGAGCCTGCCCATCAGCAAGAGTGGCAGCTGCCAAAAGAGAAGTGGGTCAACATGAGAACAGAGATGTACCACCACTTATCTGGAAATAAATTAGTCCAGCTGGCAAAAAGATATGAGAGTGTGAGATGAGCAGATACATGCTAATTTGAGAAGGTACAAAGCATCTTGGCAAAGCAGAGGAAAAATCACAACCATCCCATTCTTGCTTTGGAGGGCATAACTTGATTATGAAGCCTTTGCTAGAAGTTGCCTCAGCTGAGTGAACATAAAGAGCTTTGAGACAGCAGAACAAAGGAAAAGAAAGAACTGGTACATCTTGAGCTGGTTGACTGGTATTGGAAACTGATTATCAGACAACAAGCCCAGTCTTCACCAGCCTAGGGCCCACCGGATGAGTTAGAGATCAAATCCCACAATTTTTGAATTGCTGGACTGGGAATTATGGGAGATGAATTCCAACACAACTCATGAGCACTAGGTTGGGGAGGGCTGAACTCGATTATTTCTTTTGGTTTGTACGAGTAGGGATCTGGTGAAGATCTCCAGAGATATCAGCAGAGGATGATGTATGAGAGCCAACCAATAACAGTGAAATTAGGACTAAATACAGAGGTGAATGCCAACAATCTGGACATGTGATTATAGGAGGTCAAAACCACTTGAATACCATAGGTTGTGTCAGGCCTAGCCCAAGGAACTCCTGGAGACTGTGCAGGTTCAATCAGCAAGGTTTAT